CAACTAGACTGAAGAACAAAAGGACAGCAACTTGTCTGTTCCCCTTCCCCCAATTCCCCAGCACTGTTCCCTTCCCCCCAATACCCCAATAAAAATCTTTAAAAAAAAAAAAAAAGAAAACAATCCCATTTATAATTGCCACACAAAAGGATAAAATACCTAGGAATAAATTTAACCAAGGAGGTAATAGACCTGTACTCAGAACTGTAAGACAGTGAAGAGAGAAACTGAAGGCATAAATGGAAGGATATACCATGCTTATGGATTGGAAGAATTAATATCAATAAAATGTCCATATTACCCAAAGCAATCTACAGATTCAATGCAATCTCTATCAAAATATCAATGGCCTTTTCCACAGAACTAGAATAATCCTAAAATTTATATAGAACCACCAAAGACCCCAGATAGCCAAAGCAATCTTGAGAAGGAACAAAATTGGAGGCATAATGCTCCCTAATTTCAAAACTGCAAAACAGTATGGTACTTGCACAAAAACAGACACAGATCAATGAAACAGAATAGAGCACCTAGAAATAAACCATGCTTATGTGGTCAATTAATCTATGACAAAGGAGGCAAGAACATACAATGGGGTAAAGACAGTCTCTTCAATAAACAGTGTTAGGAAAACAGGACAGAAACAATGCAAACAAATGGAACTGGACCACTTTCTTAGACCACATAAAAATGGACTTAAATATAAGACCAAAATCAAAAAATTCCTAGAAGAAATCATGGGCAGTAAACTCTTTGACACTGGTCTTAGCAATTTTTTTTGGATATGTCTCTTAGGGCAAAGACAACAAAAGCAAAAATAAATAAATGTGACTACGTCAATCTAAAAAGTTTGCACTATGAAGGAAACCATCAACTAACAAAAAGACAACCTTCTGAATAGGAGAAGATATTTGCAAATGGTACATCCAACAAGGGGTTAATATAAAAAATATATAAAAGAACTCATACTCATACAACTCAGCATCGAAAACAAAAAATCTGATTAAAAATGGTCAGAGGACTTAAATAGATATTTCTCCACAGAGTACATATAGATGGTCAACAGACACATGAAAAGATGCTCAACATCACTAATCATCAGGGAAATGCAAATCAAAACCACAATGAGATGTCACCTTACATGTGTCAGAATGGCTATCTATCAAAGAGTTGGCTTAAGAGCGCGAGCTCTGAGCAACAGGGCCACCGGTTCGGATCTCACATGAGCCAGTGACATTGCGCCTGAGCTGAGTTGTCGCTGAGCTGCCAACAGGTGGCAGTATGGCTCAGCTGGTGTAACAACAAGATTGCCTGTTGGATGGTGGGCTACGCCCACCTGCAACTAAGGCTGAACTTGGCACCTTGAGCTGAGCTGCCGCCCGGATGGCTCAGTGGATAGAGCATGTACTCTTAACAGCAAGGCTGCTGATTCGACTCTTGCATGGGATGGAGCTACGCCCACCCACAACTAAGACTGAACACAGCACCTTAAGCTTAGAGGCCATGAACTGCCGATGGGCATCCAGATGGCGACTGGCACCCTCCACAACCAAGATTGAAGAACAACAACTTGGCTGGTCCCCTTCACCAATTCTCCAACACTGTTCCCCTCCCCCAATTGCCCAATAAAATTAAAAAAAAAAAAAAACAACAAACAACAAATGTTGGGGAGGATGTGGAGAAAAAGGGAACCCCTGTGCACTGTCGGTGAGATTGTAAACTGGTGTACCCACTATGGAAAACAGTATAAATTTTCCTCAAAATAGAACTACCATATGACCCAGCAATCTCATTTCTGGGTATTTACCCAAAGAAAAAAACACTAATTCAAAAAGACATGTAGGACCTGTAGAGTGGCTCAGTTGGTTAAGAGCTTGCTCAAGAGTTTGAGCTCTGAGCAACAGCAGTTCATTTCCCGGCCTGAGCTGAGAAGCCGCTGAGCTGCCAACAGGTGGCAGGATGGCTCAGCTTAAAAAAAAAAAAAGACATATTATACCTCTATGTTCACCGCTGCAACATTTAAAACAGCCAAGATAATAAAAGCAACCTAAATGTTCATTGATAGACTACTGGATAAAGAAGATGTGATACATGGGCCGGCTGAGTGGCGCGTTGGTTAAGAGCTGGCTTGGGACACCAGAGGGCCCCAGTTGGGATCCCACATATGAGGGCCAGTGACACTGCCCTCCACAGCTAAGATGCTGAACAACAGCTCAACNCCCCGGTTCGGATCCCACATATGAGGGCCAGTGACACTGCCCTCTACAGCTAAGATGCTGAACAACAGCTCAACCTGGAGCTGGGCTGCCATGACGGCGTAGACTGCAGCCCTGATGCAGTGGGTTGCCATGGGCTACCGTGTGTAGCCAGCGGCCAGCAGCCACTGTGAACAGCCGTCCAGAAGACGGCGACTGATCTGCCTTGCCCGGGAAGAGCATAATGATGGTGCCAACTTGGGTCGGTGAGGCAACATCCTCCACAACTAGACTGAAGAACAGGACAGCAGTTTGTCTGTTCCCTTCCCCCAATTCCCTAGAGCTGTTCCTATCCCCCAATTCCCCAATAAAAATCTTAAAAAAAAAAAGGTGGATACCCTACTTTCGGGGTTCCTCTCTTGGAACTGTATGCAGGCCCTGTGTTTCTCTGTAGAACCTGGGGCTCAGGGAACCTAATGCAGAAACGCTGCTGTTGGCTACCATTACTGCTGTGAGTAATAAACCGTCCTTCATCTCTCACCCTGGAATAGTCTGGAGTCTTTTACCAATATCCATGAACTTGGCCAGCTAACTTGTTGGTTTACAAGTAAGATGAAATCGCAGACCCCTCATCGTTTTTGACAGTTAATGTTTTTCTCTTTATGGTAAGTATGTTGTGGGTAAATACTTTGAAACTATATATATGTTAATACTCAAATTTGTTAGGTCTTTTCAAAATTCCTGCCTTTCACCGTCACCTCGGCTGAGCTGTCCTAAGGCCAAGGTTACATGTACCCCAAAGCCTTCTACCATAACAAACGAGATCTCTCCCATCTCTACCATGTTATCTATCCTGTTTTCCACCATCTTTCTGGCCTGTGTGACTATATACATACGAGGTTAGGTGATCATTTCACATGTGACTAAGACCACCTGGGTTATAATGAAACAAATTTCAAACATTTTAAATGGAAAAACTCAGCAATTTCATCTCAATCCTTATGCAACTAAAAATAGTTCAAGATAAGTTCAATACCATTTATCTCTAAAATGTGGCAAAATAACTTACCAAAGTCCACGCAGAGCCAGTCATCAGTGTCCTTTCCTTCGATCTTAACTTGAGGCTCACTTTTATGTTTTAGAAATTTGTACTGAAAAAAGGCAGGCCATATATTAAAGGGACAAGGGATGGAAGAAGTTGCTCTTACTGAGGGTCTGAAGGTTTTTTCTTAATCTTAATTTGGGACCTACCTTACTCAATGTTCATTATAAACATGCATCAAAAATCAGCTTCTAAACATGAAACACTGACAGAATTGAAGGAAGAAACAAATGGCAACATGAAAATACAAGAAACTCAATTACCCCACTTTCAATAATGTATAGAACAACTAGACAGAAGATCAATAATGAAATAGAAGACTTGAACACTACAGAGCAATTGGACTTAACAGACATTATCAGAACACTCCATCCAACAACAGCAGAGTACATATTTTTCTAAAGTGCATATGGAACGTTCTCCAGGATAGATGATATGTTAGGCAACAAAACAAGTCAATCTAAAAAGATTGAAATCAAGTCTTTTTTTTTTTTTTTTAAGCTGAGCCATCCTGCCACCTGTTGGCAGCTCAGCAGCTGCTCAGCTCGGGCCAGGAATCGAACTACTGTTGCTCAGAGCTCAAATTCTTGAGTGAGCTCTTAACCAACTGAGCCACTCGGTCAGCCCTTAAAAAGATTGAAATCATATTTTCTGAAAACAATGAAAAGAAACTAGAAATCAACAGAAAAAAACTAGAAAATCCACAAACATGTGGAAACTAAACCAAATGGGTTAAAAAATAAGGGAAATTAGAAAACATCCTGAGACAATTTAAATAAAAACACAACATACCAAAACTTATGGGATACAGTGAAAACAATGCTAAGAGGGAAATTTATAGCTATAAATGCTTACATGAAAAAAAGTTCCCAAATCAAAAACTTAAATTTACACCTTAAAGAACTAGGAAATGAAGAACAAATTAAAGCTAGCAGAAAGAAAGAAACAAGGATCAGAGAAAAACAAAAGGCAAAAAAAAAATCAATGAAACCTAGATTTGGTTCTTCAAAATGAACAACAAAGTTGACAAATCCTGAGCTGGATTGACTAAGACAAAAAATAGAAGACTCAAATAACTAAAATCAGAAACAAGCAAGAGGACATTACTATCAATTTTAGAGAAAAAGGATTGTAATAATCTATGAATGACTGTATACCAACAAACTGGATAACCTAGATAAAATGGACAAATTTCTAGAAACATGACCTAACAAGATTGAATCATGAACAGAAAGTGAATAGACTTAAAATACATACACACACCCACCACAATCAAGTGGGATTTATTCCTAGAACGTAAGGATGGTTTCATATGAAATCAATGTAATAAACCATATTAACAAAATGAGGGACAAAACCCATAGAATCATCTCAAATTTATGCAGAAAAATCATTTGATAAAATTCAACATCCTTTCATGATACAAACACTCAAGAAACTAAAAATAAACTATCTCAAGATAAAGGCCATATATGAAAACCCCACAACTATTATCATACTCAATGGCAATACCAATCTTCAAAACTATTCCAAAAAATAGAAAAGGAAGAGCTCCCAAACTCACTCTATAAGGCCAGCATTATCCTGATACCAAACCCTGATAAAGATACTACAAAAAGAAAGTTAAAGGCCAATTCCCTGATGAACATACATGCAAAAATCCCCAGCAAAATATTAGCAAACCAAATTGAGCAATACATTAAAAAAATCATACACCACGATCAAGTGGGACTTATTCTAGGGATGCAAGGTTGGTTCGATATCTGCAAATCAATCAACAAAATAGACTAACAAAATGAAATATAAAAATAATGTGATCATATCAATAGATGCAGAAAAAGCATGTGACAAAATTCAACATCCATTTATGACAAAAACAATAAGCAAAGTGAGTATAGAGGAAGCATAACTCAACATTATAAAGGCCATGCATGACAAACCCACAGCTAAACACTCCTCAATGGTGAAAAGCTTAAAGGTTTTTATCCAAGACCAGGAACAAAACAAGGATGCCCACTCTCACCACTTTTATTCAAAATAGGATTGGAAGTTCTAGCCACAACAATCAGACAAGAAACAGAAATAAAAGACATCCAAATTGGAAAGGAAAAAATAAAAGTCATTACCTGCAGATGATATACTATATATAGAAAACTCTAAAGAGTCCACCAAAAACTATTAGAATAAATGAATGTGATAAAGTTGGAGGATACAAAATTAATATTCAGAAACCTGTTGTGTTTTTATACACTAATAATGAACTATCAGAAAAAAATTTAAGAAAACAATCCCATTTACGGGCCGGCCGAGTGGCGCGATGATTAAGAACTGGCTTGGGATGCCAGAGGGCCCCGGTTCGGATCCCACATATGAGGGCCAGTGACACTGCCCT